ACACCCCCCCCCCCCCCCAGGTTCATGCAAAGACTTTAATGGATATGTTTTCCGCAAGGTTGAGAATTTCGGTAACCCTAGAAAATAGGGGTAGGATCCTTATTTAAGATGAATAGGAAGTGGCATGCGAAACATTCAAGTTGAACTTCAACACTGATAATCTTTTAAGGTCAAATTGAGATATCAGTCAGTTTTGTAGTCTGAAAATCTCCTTACAGCTACTATTCATGAACGGTAACTTCATACATGTGCATTTATATTAAAATAGTGAGTGACACTGGGGGTAACCTGAAGTGTCCTATTGATTCATTTTACTATTTTAAAGACGTATATTAGGTCTTATTTCATAGGCCAATTCTTAAAACCCCATTTTTAGTTCTAAGTTTCATGGTTTTAACTCAATCTCGTAATGGAGACAGAGACTGATAGAAATTTAGATATCGTCATTTTCTCAACGGTTTTGAATGATAAAGGAGAAGTGCCTGAAACTTCCACGGTTTTTATCTATATAGAGGTTTAAGGAGCATCGTGTGTTTGTCAGCCAAAATCTCAACCGCCTGGGGCACATGTCTGGTGAGCAGTCAAACTTCCACCGCAAGATTGTAGGGGATGAGAGAATATTAACTAAAGCTGGCGATCACAATGCCTTGCTTGTAGTACTACTCCTGTATGAAAAATGAAACTGACTGCATTCAACTTTAGACTGCTTGAGTTTAATAAACAATAGTTCACAATGCTGCTCTTTGAGTGCGAGTCAAAAGGGTGCTCGCTCGTTGCGACTGCTGTGACGGAAGCACCCATAACGCATTCATACAGACGCAGCTGACCAGAAGAATAATATTAGCAGAGAGAGGAGGGAGGAGGGGTCAAAGAAATGACCAAAAGTTAAGCAAACAGTAAATGTTTTTACCCTTGGAATCTGATCTTGACTTCCAGTTTGGACCCAACTGTCTGCTTTTATTTTCATACACAAAATTTAAACTCGCGGACAGCGTTCTAATCGATGAACGGGGCACAGTCGACACCCTGGGGCGAGTAAACTGAGTTTTAGATCCGATTTCACGCTCTCTGCTGAACGGCTTCGACTCGCTCTATCAGGCAAATGCCTTATTGCACGGCTTATGATATGTTTAATGGCCTTTTTCTTTCTTTCTTTCTTTCTTTGAAAATTGAGGAATCCTATATGCATATGGTCTGTTAACTCATCTTGACGCCAGGTGTGCGCGTATATATATTTCCCTAAGAAATTCTAAGGACCCCTCAAGCTCACGCTCATTATAATGTAGCATTTTTTGTACTAATACATTTAAGGGTACAGCTTAGGCGTTTTCTTCATCTGACCACCTCAGAAAGGTTTAAAATAGACTCTCATGAAACATCAATGCCTTGTCCGGGTTTTTCTTTTCGACTATTTTTCGTACAGAAAATGGAGTTGTTTCAAATGACAACCGATTTAAATTGAACCAGTAATGGGCTACATTTTCCTATGGAGCTACTATTAGAAAAAAGCAAAATTGCTTGTCGCTACCAATGACTGACACGGTGCGAATACATGTAGGGGTTAAGAACAACAGGATTGATTTCTAGAATTTCAAGAATAACACGTTTCTTCTCTCCTCTCCTCTCTCTCTCTCATCTTTAAAAATCAGATATTTTGTTTAGTAAATATAAAGACATGGAGAGTTTTGCTGTAATACGTGTATGTAGGGCACAGAGATGGAAAAATTTGCTTGGTTTTGTCTCGTGGTGTTTTTTTAACTGTTTTTTCCTTTGGAATGAGATGGGAGAGAAGGGACTACCTCTGTTTACGAAACCGTTGCATAGCCCCCCCCCCTTCCCCTCCTCACAAACAAACACACACACACACACACACACACACACACACACACTCCATTGGCTGTATTTGAGTCTCAGTTCAGCATGCATTTGGATATGATGTAAATTATATTCACAATCGATTGCTATTCATTACAGTAGCATATATATCATTCATTATCCTCTCTTTGTGCACGTAGATAGTCCAAGCGCAAACAGTCGTAAATGCATTTTGTTTTTCTTTACTTTTCCGGACCCTATAGGACCCCACACTGCACCGAGTCCCCCAGGGCCACTTACTCTAAAACCTATAGATTCTCGGACTCTGTTCATATCATGGGAACCTCATAGAGAGCCGGTGACGGGCTATCATCTCTGGACCAAAGGCAAGAAGGGGAACAAGGACCTCATGTTAGGACCCGAGGCTCGAAACTACACGTTGAAGGGGCTAAGTACGCATTGTCAAAATAATAATAATAATAATAATTACAATAATAATAATTTACATGACAGTGAGGTTTGTTCAACCTGAATTTTAGAGATAATTGGAAAATACGAAGGCGTGCTGACCAGAGAAATAAGTTATCTGCATTCTCTGAAACTCAAGGTGGATTTATGTTACTTTTAAAGTATTTTCTTCTCCCCCGCCTTTTTTTTCAATTGATTTTTGTTCCGTTTGACTTATTTTCTGAAGAATCCTTTGTCAAATTTGGATAATCGCTAATGCATCTGTAATTACAGTTTGCCTCAAATATATTTTTAGAAACGCACCAAGTAACCGGGAATCTTTGGCAATTTGACAAACGCCGTGAGATAGTTTGCTGATAAAATAAATTATGAGGACAAATTCTTCAAAGGTGAATTACAATTGTTGTAGACATCTAACAAGAGTCTAAAACAAAAAGAAAGTTTCTAGACTATTATAGATAAGACTTTTTGCTGTTTTTCAGGGCCTAATGCAAAGTATCGAGTGAAGCTGTCTGTTTTTAATGGAGCCGGGGAGAGCGATTTTACTTACAAGAAAATCGTGCTACGTGAGTATTAGTCAACTCCAATGACACCTATCATGCGTGATTAAGTATTGATCTAAGGATATTTGTACACAGGTCGATTTTGCAAAATAAAAAAAACTTTGGATCCAAAATTGGTATAAATCTTTTGATCAAATTTTCCGTACACTTCAGTTGAGGATAGTTACCCTTTATAATCCATTCTAAATATTACTGATTTCTCCTTTGTCATAAAAAAAGTTATATTCCATTTTAATAGATTATTTCCGATTTGAATCGGATAAAAGTAGACTTAAATATGGGTTTAAGAGTTGAGACGTTTTTCAGCCTTAAGTTCTTTTGTTAAAGCGACACTGCGGCCTGTTTGGTTTCCTAACGTTTCATCTGTAGAAGAAATAGGATGTGAGACAAGGAAAGGCATGTGATAAGGCGAATTTTTCTGGTTTTTCAAGGCGAGAGTTGGATCCAAATTATCCAGATATTGTGCTTGTGCTTTAGGGCAATAAAATTGGCACACTTTGTTGTCACCCTAGATCACTGCAGACCCACTGGGCAGAAAAAGCTCAGGTATGTTGGCTTGAACCCATCTAAGGGTATGGTGAGGGGGCCAGGATGATATTCCTTATTTATTCCACTTGCCCTTTACTTATTTCTAAAACTGTTTTTCGCTTTAATTGCCCTCCCAGGTTTATTTGATAAAAAACAAGTGCACAGTTTGCTTACGAGTTCGGAAAGGTTAGTAATACAATTGCAATGTTATTCATTCGTCACTAGAAGTTTCCTGGGAGGAAACCACATTGCATTTGAATTTTTCACTTTTCCAGACATTTCCATAAGCAACCTGTGGGTATTTATCGAAAAAATAACGGGGCTGAGTCATATACTGACCTTTATTCTGGGGCGAACTTCTCACAGACAATATTTTTATAGATGAGGTCCACGACGTGCTATCAATATAACTGGCAATAATAAAACCTGGTGTTCATAGACTTGGGCATACGTACAAGCACCTGGCTCTACTGTGAGCGCTAATGTTGGAATACAAAGGGCAAAACAGTTCACGGACATACGCCGTTTGAATTAGCAATACTTCCCAATTGCACGCATTACCAAAATAATTGGCAGTGCCATCAAAGCAAATAATCTAGAAAATTTCCTAATATCAAAGCAAAACGGAAACTGCATAAAACTGAGTTGAAACAAAAGGAAAAACAGCTATACTAAACAGAAACATTATATGGTAAAATCTTGGTCCCAGAATGAGACAACTATAATATTTGTTTGTTTCTTTCTCATAATGGGAAAGTATTGTGGTGAAATCTTAAAACGGTATATAAAGACTGATCCTTCTTTCTCGTTGCATTAAAAGATATCTTTTTAAAAACAACAGAAAAACCCTTCTATCTCATAACAGCACGCGAGAGACATTTAAAATAAGAATGAAAAAAATTCGAAAATTTAGTTATCTGATGCATTTGTTTCGCCCATTATTTTCTTGTGTTATTTTGTAGAAGTTTTCTGAATCAGTCTGATTGTGTACCCTTAATCGCAGATGCATTACAATTGTGTTGTAGTTTATTATGTGATTATGTGATTCTTTCTTCATCCAGCATCGATGCGAGTAAAGGTGGCGTGGTTAACAGCTATTGTAGCTTTTCCTATATTCAGTATCAGTGCCTTACGTAGAAATTCCCTTATGTTTGTCAGTGCGTGCGCGCAAGCGTGTGCAAGAGGATTTTTGCATCGACGAATATGTGTATTCGTATACATGTACAGCTATTGCGAATGCAATTATATGCGAAATGTGAAAGGGTGTGTGTCAACAAACATTACTGAGTGCGCATGTCGGGTAACATGTTTGTTGTTGACCATAACAAATAAAAACACGTGGCGTAACAGTTGGTAAAGTGTTGGAAATAGTTCTTTTTTTAGATCCAGTTCCTTTAATTTGATAAATATCGGCGGCCCAATGCGTGACTCACCTTCTGTTTGTTAAATCTTGGGAACACTTACACAACTAACAAGTCCAGTTGGTACGTGTTTTTGCACCAGTGCATCGTAAAAGTCATTTGCTGTCGAAAAAAAATTACCCACGGAGAAACTGCTCTGTAACTCAATATTTCAATGGCTTTACAATTGTACTTTGTGCTTGTTGTCTGTCTATGCAGCAACGTGAGATCATCTGCACTGATTTAGGGCGCTATTTATTCAGTAATAATAGCTCAGTAAGATTCTGGCCGGGAGCAAATCGGAACCGCGTGTATCAGAAAGAAGCAGTCGATCTAGAACCCTAGAAGGTATATAAATACGAGCTGCATGGACAAACCCGCGTTCTATTCTTAACCGCTACGTGGTGAGTTTATTTGGCTAGTCTTCTTAAAGAGAAGAGAGCCCGGCTAAAATCAACTTTCGCTTTAAATAAGTAAAAAAAACTGAGAAAGATGTCGAAGAAAATATTCTGCTGTGCGGTTCTCTGGTGCGGTTTGACTATAGCTGCAGTGTCGGCTGTCAGCTACCAGTGCGAGGAGACGAAAATCCCAATGTGTATGTCCTACACCAACAAGACTATTGTGCCGAACGTGCTGGGTTACACTAGGCAGGACTATGCGGCTTTAGAGCTCATCTTTTTCGAACCTCTTGTGAAGATGAAATGTTCGCCCTACCTCCACCGCTTTTTGTGCGGCATGTACACACCGATGTGCGACCGTTACGGCCTGGCCGATAAACCGACGCCTCCCTGTCGGAGCATCTGCCGTGCGGCCAAAACCGCGTGCGAGCGAGACATGTATAAGTACGGGATCGTATGGCCGGAGAACTTTAACTGCGAGAGTCTCCCGGACGATATAGCGGACCCTATTGGTACTCGCTGCGTTGGCAAGCTGGCCCTGATGATCCCTGGGTTGGGGTTAGGTATCATGTCACGCCAGGGGAACGGCAATGTCCAACTAGAAGAAAAAGAGGGTGAGTTTTAACCCCCCCTCCCCCAGCTTCAGCGGGCCTGAGTTGGTAGCATGTTAAACTGGTATCCTGGTGCTTAAAAATGCGTTGTCAAAACTACAGGTGATGTGACTTGCATCTCCCATCCCAAATTTCGACTGAGTGTACTACAGTGCCGCCGGAATCTCCCCTTACTTACCCTCCGGGTTGCTGCGGGTTGTGCGGACGGCCTGGCTCGGTAACTATGGAAATAACATTGTCATCCATTCGCTGTTTGGTTTCTGTTAACAATAGTTCCATACCCTGCCCGTCGGGCAATTATCGTGACAAAATTTCTGCTAACAAAAGAGCCTAACCCTAGCTCGCTGAGATAAAGATCGAAGGTGAGCGTGGTCGCAATTAAGTGTTCGTCCAAGCGTTAATTGACCTTTAATGCGCGGTGGCTTCACTCTACTTTGATCACTCTACTCTGATACGGAGATTTTAAGTATAAGAACTTGCCAACAGTGATTTTTAAAAGTCGCTTTACCAAAAGGATTCGGTGATGACAGCAATTTTCGTGTACATTGTAGCTATGAATTGATTGAATTTACATAGAGTTTAAT